TTTCTGAAGAAGGGTCCCGACCCAAAACATCAGTTTTCCTGCTCCTCTGATGCTGCCTGGCCTGCTGTGTTCCTCCAGCTCCACACTGTGTTATCTCAGACTCCAGCATTGGCAGTTCTTACTATCTCTAAGCATGTCATATGTCTTTTCGAGCACCTCGTCCACTTCTGTTGCCACTTTCAGGGAACTGTGGACTGGTATGCCTAGGTTCCTCTGTATGTTAATGCTGCTAAGAGTTCTGCTACTTACTGTATAATTCCTTCCTGCATTAGACCTTCAAAATGCATCACCTCGCAATGTGTCCAGATTAAATTCCATCTGCCATTTCTCCACTGGCAACATTTGTTTTAAAATTGATTTTAAATGAATTTTCCAATGGGAAATTGCAGATGTTATTAATAACATGTACAAGTTTATACTCTTGGAGCTGTGTTAATAATATGCATCAGCCAAATTGAGAATGTAGGACAACATGATAATGCAGAAAATATCTATATTTTATGAACCTGATGGGATGGAGCAGGGAACATAATGTGGGAACTTCTTTTTTTCAAACAGTGAGTTTTCGTGATCTGAAACGTACTGCATGTGTGGTGAAAGCCATAACTTTTAAGAGGGTATTAGATGCATGTTTGAAGGGAAAAGGCCAAAATTATGGGGAGACAACAAGGGTTGGAATTATTTGGATAACTCAATCAAAGAATCAGCAGTGATTTGATGGGTTTAATTGCCTCTTTCTGTGCTCTACCATTCTATTTTTCCATAAACTGCATATTTTGATTTTTATTATTCATCAGGCATATTCTTCAATGCCTATCAGGAATATATAAAGCTGCATAAGGAAAAATATTAAATGTGACCCTATTGCATAAAATCCTTAAATTAGGAATGATGAGTAATTTCGTTGGCTACATTTGTGAGGCATTCCTCTGCTATTTCAACTGATGTATTGATAAATGTTTCTCTTGAATTTATGAACATAGAAATACATACAAATGAATACTTTGTCCAGACCTATATCACAGTAGGTTTTAACCAATTGTATTAAACTAAATACATTTAAACATATTGCAATACTTATTCTACTCCTGCTCGTTGACTACAGCTCTGCCTTCAACACCATTATCCCCTCCAGACTGATATCAAAACTCCATGACCTTGGTCTCAGCTCAGCCCTCTGCAACTGGATCCTCAGCTGTCTGACCTATCAGCTGCAAGCAGTGAGGATAAGTAACTGCACCTCCTCCACAATAACACTTAACAGTGGAGCCCCCCAAGGATGCGTCCTCAGCCCCCTACTGTACTCCCTGTACACCTACGATTGTGTTGCCAAATTCTGAATGAACGCCATCTACAATTTTGCTAATGAAACCATCTTAGTGGGACGGATATCTAACAATGACAAGTCATAATACAGAAGGGAAATAGAGGGCTTGGTGTAATGGTGCAATGAAAACAATTTTTCTTTCAATGCCAGCAAAGCTAAAGAACTGATCATTGACTTCAGAAAGAAAGGAGGAGAACACGCCCCCATCTACATCAATGCAACTGAGGTTGAGAGAGTGAAGAGCATCAAGTTCCTTGAGGTGACGCTAACCGATGAACTGTCCTAGACTTCCCATGTAAATGCAACAGTCAAGAAGGCACAACTATTCCTCTTCTTGCTCAGGTGGCTCAGGAAATTTGGCATATCCCTCAGGTCCCTCACTAACTTCTACAGATACGCCATTGAAAACCTACTGTCTGGCTGCATTATGCCCTGGTATGCCAACTGCTCTGCCCACGACCCTAAGAAACTACAGAAGGAGGTGTGCACAGCCCAGACCATCAAGGAAGCCAGCCTTCCATCCATGGAGTCTATTTATATGGCTCATGGCTGCAGAGAGGTGGCCAACATCATCAAAGCCCCATCGCACCTGGAAATGACCTTCTACAACCTCTTCTGTCAGGGAGAAAATACAGAAGCCTGAACACAAGCAGAAGCAGGTTCAGGCCATTATCAGACTATTGAATGGACTCTAGCCTCAAATAATGTAACCAGTAATGTAACCTATATGCCTCTAGATCTTTTTGATCTGTACATCCTTTGCTTGCTGTGATGTACTGCTCATAAACAATGCTTTTCACTGTATTTCGGTACACATGACAATAAAATCAAAATCAAATCTACAACAAAGGATTTATTAAAAGAGTTTAATTTATTTTGTGCTCAAATGCTGTTGTATAAAGCTTTCTGATACTTACTCATCTGATGTTTCATGCTGCAGTCTGGTAAAGGGACATCATTAGAAGAACGAGCATTGTCTGTTTCTGAAATATCCTTTTGATCATCTGGCTGTATTTTGCCCAAAGATGATTTAGTTCGTTTTTGGCATGTTAGCAAAAGCAGGAAGCTCTTAATATAATCTTTATATGAAGTTGTTTTTTCTTTCTTTGTATTTGCAGTTAGTGTATCCCCAGAAAAGAAATTGAGAAGAAGAGCCAAGAACAAATTTAACACCTGCAGAACAACATTGAGGAATTTAAAATCTGTTTAGTGGTTATGATGACAAAATAAAATTCTGCAAAATACCTTCCTAACAGTTCAAGCTATTTCAAAAGACCAACTGATGATATGGTCGTATTGATTTAATCTAATCTTTCTTCTTGATTATCCACCAGTTGTGGCTAATAAATAGGTAAATGACAATAATACCTTAATTTTCTGCTCTTTGTCAATTGAATTATTAGACTTCGTGGATAATATGCAATCCTTTATCCTAAATCACCCTTGTTCATCTGCTATTAGGTTATAAGTTTCTTGGCTGAACTTTCATAAATGGAATAGATTATATCACTATTATTTAATCATTTGGTTGGTTTTTTAGCAAATTAATTTCTTCAAAACAATGTTGAAGGCAGGGGTTAAAGTTGCTTACTGTGATCAAATCTATTCCTGGAGGTATAACTTCCATGTTCCAGACATTAAATCATTGGCCAATACATCCGTCCTTATGGTGCACTGCCTTTCTAGCCAATTGGATGATATTTGTCAGCCAAACGTTTTTTTTGTCTAAGGGAGAAGGCTGTACTTCTGAGAGATATGAGACTGCCCAAGGGGCAATTGCATTAATCAGGAACTTACACAGTTCAGGTCAAGGACATTCGTGATCGCAAAATTCTGCATGTGTATCTTATGCAATGACCAACAACGTGAAATAGAAATCCTGGCCAGAAGTAATCTTGATCATGATATGGATCATTACTATTCTAGTAACCTCTGTGAAACAAATAATTTTGGGCAAGCTATGAAGTTGCAAAACCTGGATTCCACAATTCACAAACACATTCCAAGATCTCATAGGCTGCTTAAAGCACCAGAGATGCTTTTCTGACACATTGAACTGTCAGTATTTCACAACATGCTCTTTCAGATGCCTTTGGGTGATGGGGGGGTGTGTTGCAGGGATGTGGTGAAAAGGTGTTGTTGGTACTATATCACTTGCAATTTCTGGCTATATATACGTGACGTGGCTTGTGCAGCATACATTTAAATGAGGTCTGTTACGTTTAAGATCCACGTAGTTGCATCTCATTGTCCTCCTTGTCAGAAGCCTCCATGTACCACTGTACTGAAGACTATGGTAAACTGTCATTTGATGGTGTTGCAACTGCTGACTGCTCAAATTACTAAGGAGTTGCTTTATTTCCGATAGGCCTGCAAAGGCTCATTGAAATTGTCATCATCTCTGATCGTCTCTGTGGCCTCGGCACTACAAACAGCCACAGAAAGTGCAGCAACCTCCAAAGGATGTGGAACAGTTAAATCCAGCCAGAGGTCCGCTCACAATTTGGAAAAAATGCAGAAACCCATAGTCTTTGGTCTTCGATGGAATGTCCTCCAAATAAGAGAGACAAGTGCCATAACCAAATTAGGATGATCCCAGGACCCTGTCACAGAGCTGTGACATCTGCTGGAGCACTCCAACTGAAGTGCATTAAGGATTGTACACAGTATTGATGAGAGCACCATATCATAGCACAACGCTCTTCATTAATAGAACATCCTTTAATTTCATTGATATTTAGCTCATCTGTGATTAATGTGACCACATTTTGAAAATCTGCATCAGGCACCCTGGACCCTTCCATAATGCCAATATTCTTGATAACTCTCAGGTTCCTCCTTCATTCGAAGGATCATATGCCTTATAAGGATGGCTGGTGTGAGCCCAAGACCACGCTGCCTATCCATGGATGACAACTCCTTTACGCAACCCCCAATTGAGAAAGAGCATATATACAATGCCATCCCTTCACCCGCTGGGATAGGTGATCGGTTTCCTCAGGATGGAGTTCTCATGCATGGACAAATCTTGGGGGTTGTGGAGTATGTTATTGAATGTGTTGTATAACTCTTGCATGCTGTGCTCTGCAAAACTGCAGCAAGCAGTTTAGCTAAGATGAATGTGAATCTACTGCAGGCAGAGTCAGTTAGAGTCAGTTAGCTCAGGTGGCTGCATAGCTGGTTTGCCATGCAGAATGATGCCAACAACATGGGCTCAATTCCTGTCCCAGCTGAGGTTTCCGTATGGACCCACCACTTTTTACTTCACCTGGGGCATGGTGACCTCAGTTTAAACCACCACCAGATATTGTTCTGTAATGAGGCAGCAGCCCTTAAGGATTAGCAGTTGGGTTCCAGGTGTTCTCTCTCCTTCTCTCTACATATGTATAACTATATATGATTTGGATATGGGGACCAACTGTAATCTTTTCAGATTTGTTGGAAATACAATGACAATGTTTTGTTATGAGGAAGATATAAAGTGACTTCACAAGGGTTTGGACAGGTGTCATGAATGGACAACAACACAGTAGATAAAATCCAAAATCCTAAAATCTACTTTGATAGAAGGAACAGATCTGCGAAGTATTTCTTAACCAGTAAGAGGCTGGAAAGTGTAAATATATAAAAGGATCTGGATGGTCTTTGTCATTAAGTCACTGAAGATTGATAATGCAGATACTACAAGCTACAAGGAAGCTAACAGAATGTTAGCCTTTATTGCAAGTGGTTTTGTGCACAGGAGTGGTGAATTCTTGCTTCAGTTGTATAGGAGGTTGATTAGACTGCACCTGGAGTATTATGTGCAGTTTTGGTCTCCCTTCCTCAGGAAGCATATTATTGCCATAGAAAGTTTTCAACAAAGTTTTACCAGACTTGTTCCCAGATAATGGGATTGTCCAATGAAGACAGGTTGTAAAAACTAGCCCCATACTCTCTAGAATTTTGACAAATGTAAGGTGATATCATTGAAACCTACAAATACTGAAAGAGATAGATAGGGTAGATGCAGATAAGACTTTTTGTATATTCACTCATGGAAGGTGGGCATTGCTGGCTGGCCAGCATCTATTGTTCAACCCTAGTTGTCCTTGAGAAGGTGGTAATGAGCTTCTTTCTTGAACCACTGCAGTCCGTACGGTGTAGGTAGATCTGCAATACCATTAGGAAGGGAATTCCAAAATTTTGAGCTGGTGACACTGGAAGAATGGTGATATATTTTCAAGTCAGGATGGTGACAGGCTTGGAAGTGACCTTGTAGGTGGTGGTGTTCCCGTATATCTGCTGCCTTTGTCATGGAAGTGATCATGGGTAAGGAAGATGCTGTCTAAGGAGCCATGGTGAATTTCTGCAGCGCATCTTTTAGATACTGCTGCTATTGAGCACCAGTGGAGAAGGTGGATATGATAACAATGGGTTACTTTGTCCTGGATAGTATCAACCTTCTTGAGTGCTTTTGGAGCTGCACGCATCTGGGCAAGTGGGGAGTATTCCATCACACTCTTGACTATACCTTGAAAGGTGGTGGACAAGTTTATGGAGTCAGATTGGGAGTTACTCACTGCAGGATTCCTAGCCTGTGACCTGCTCATGTAGCAATTGTATTTATGTGGCTCATCCTATTCAGTTTCTAGCCAATGGTAATCCCAAGGATGTTGATAACTGGGGCTTCAGTGATGATAATGCCATGAAAAGTCAAGGGGGAATGGTTATATTCTGTCTTGTTGGTGATGGTCATTGCCTGCCATTTGTGAGGCACAAATTTTACTTACCACTTGTTAGCCCAAGAATGGGTATTGTTCAGGTCTTACTGCATTTGGATATGGACTACTACTGCATCTGAGGAGTCATGAATATTGCTAAAGATTGTGCAATCATCAGCAAACGTTCCCACTTCTGACCTTATGTTGGAGGGAACATCATAGATGAAGCAACTGAAGATGGTTGGGCCAAGGACATTACTCTGAGGAAATCCTGCAGAAATATTTTAGAGGTAAGATGACCGACCTCCAACAATTACAATCATCTTACTTTTGGTAGCTATGTCTCTAACTAGTGGAGAAGAAATGCTTCTGATTCCCATTGTTTTATTTTTCTATAGCTCTTTGATGACTCACTTGGTCAAGTTTTGAATGTTTTTGACCATCTGCCCTAAAATCTATTTATGATGTCAAAGTGTAAAAATTTTGATCAGGCAGATATTTTCTATCTTTTTATCTGCTGTAAAATGCATTGTTAGAATCCTCTTAGCAATCAAATGATTTTAAAGAGATGGTTATACATATAGGGGAACAAAAAGAAATCTGATACATTAAATATTCATAGAACTGAGTTCAAACAGATGGACATTAAAATCTCAGTATTTTTAAAGCTTTTCCAATTATATGTAATTTCCCAAACATATTGCCGTAGCCCTTGTAAAGTTATGCTCTTGTCTGTGTGGCCCATCAGTGCAAAAAGGTTGGGCACTTCTGGTTTAAGATATTCCTTCGTATTAATCTCTTTGGCTATGCTTTTGACCACCTGTCTGAAAATCTGTTTATGATATCAAATTTTATTTTATAGCAAAGCATCTTGGAGCTTTTCTGTTACTTTAAAGGGCACTAAATAAATAATGGTGTTGTATTAGACAAGCTCTCTGTATTTCTATGGCCACAATGAAGTACAGCTGCTGTTTTAATTGCAAAACTTTGCAAAATATATGCAAAGCAATTATAAATTTTGAATATAGCTGGCTGTAGATTAAATTAATTAATACAGAAGAATGAGATATGAATATCATTCATGCTAAATTTAAAGTACTATACCTTAAATTAGTATTTAAAAATCAGATCCACAGTAAGTTGTAGTTTACACTATTGATATTACATATTTTACATTGTGCTCTATGTTTTTGGCAAGCATTCTTTTTTTTTATAAATACTAATATCTTTAGAATATCATGTGAAGAAACAACAGGTTTGATATAATCTGAATCCACCCATTAAGTGTTCTTACCAGGAAGTTTCCAGCTATGTACGTAAGCAGGAATAGTGGTAGACAAAAGTACATCTTTGAGCAGCGCATACAATCATATAATGGTTCAATCCATTCTCCACATAAGATTCGAAAGACCATTATAAAGGAATTATAAAAGCCTCTGAAGTTCCATCTTGGTATTTTGTTGCCTTCAAATGCCTCCTATGAGGTAATATAATGTCATATGAAAAACATTGGTTGACACTAAAAAAAACAGATGAATATCGTGGAGTAGGTAGTTATGTAATACACATTTTATTCCGTGTGAGAAAGGTTTACTTAATCTGCTCTGTTGAAGTCAAAATGAGTTATGAAATACTATACAATCTATGGAAACATGGGGTTAACTGGTTTCTATTCTGTGTTCTGTTAACAATTCTTATAAGCCTAAGAATAAGACTGTTTTTAATTCGAGTGAGTAAAAATAAAACCTGGTTATGTAACATTCCTCAAGTTCTCTAGTTTAGCAGGATTAAGTCTTGATGACAACATAGAAGCATTTTTAAAATTTATCTACTAATTTAACCAATAGCAAATTCTAGATTTAAAAAAAAATAGATTGGTACAATTACTCTAAGATTCTGAGATAACACAGCGTGGAGCTGGAGGAACACAGCAGGCCAGGCAGCTCCAGGTCCACACTGTGTTATCTCTGACTCCAGCATCGGCAGTTCTTACCACTCTAAGATTCTGTTGTGGGCTGCCGCTCACCAGAAGAAACTCAATACTGCTTTGAATATCCTCCATTTTGTCACTAATTAAGAAGCACTTTCTACTTCTCATATTATTTGTTTTGTAAAAGTAATTGGGTTGGTATGAATGTTTGATGTTGTGATATAATTATTCTGTTTCATGAGGACGTTTTCTAATTTAGGTCCTACCTGCCCCGGAAGACATCCCAATGATCCACATACTGAACCTTTTTCTCCTACACCCTCTATTTAGCCATGTATTTAATTGTAATATGTTCCTGCTCCTAGTCTCACTGGCACAAGGCACAGGTAGTAATGTCAAACTGAGGATATATCTGATTAGTCAAGATCTCAGTGAATGGAGGGGTGGACTCAGTGAGCTGTGGAACCTACTGCAGCTCCTGTGTCTTCTGGTCTTAAGTCTTAATACTCCCCACCTGTCTGGATGAATGCAGCCCCAACAACACCCAAGAAGCTTGACACTATTCAGAACAAAGCAGCCCGCTTGACTGGCACCACTTTCACAAATATCCACTCCCTATACTACAGATGCTGAAAAGCAGCAATGTGTACTATCTGCAAGATCCATTGCAGAAATTCGTCAAAGATCGTTAGAAAGCACCTTCTAAACCCACAGTCACTTCCACCTAGGAGGACAAGGGTGGCAGATACATGCGAACACCACCACATGCAAGTTCCCCTCCAAGCCACTCACCATCCTGACTTGGAAATATATCACTGTTCCTTCACTGTTGCTGGGTTAGCGTTATTGTTCAAATTGTTACCATGTTAATTGATGTTACATTTCTGAAGAAGGATCTAGGCCCAAAATATCAGCCTTCCTGCTCCTCTGATGCTGCTTGGCCTGCTGTGTTCATCCAGCTCTACACCTTGTTATCTCACATTTGTATTGATTTTGGTTTGACTGTTACAGTAAAAATTTTAAAAGGTGAAATCTTGTCCATCTTTGTATTTTTTCATCACAGCAATTCCTTTCTTTTAGAAAGCTCTCAGTCTCTTAGAGGATCTCAACCCAGCCTTTATGCAGTCAAATATCTGTCTAAATTAATATGCAAAGAATGGTCGTTTTGATGAGGTGCTGGAGGTTTACCGATATATGCAGAACTTTAAACAGTAAAAGCCAAGTATTTGAAGAGAGCAAGAGAGAAAATATGAAATGAACGCTAAATGAAGAGCCTAGAATAGATGTAGCAAATTTGACAGCCCCAGAATGCAGTCAAACCCTGTGCATTCATTGTGATGCAGGTAGAATACTAACTTTACGCTGTCAGCTCAGTTCAGTGAGTTCTGTATCAGCCTGAATTAACCACGCTGATGGGAGTCCTGTCCGATAACGGTTTCACCACTTAAAACTAACCTGCACTGCTTAAAAATGAAAGAACTGTGGATGCTGAAAATCAGGAACATAAACAAAGTTGCTGGGAAAGCTCAGCAGGTCTGGCAGCATCTGTGAAGGAAAAAGCAGTTCTGAGGAAGGGTCACCGGACCTGAAACGTTAACTCTGTTTTTTCCTTCACAGAAGTTGCCAGACCTGTTGAGCTTTTACAGCAACTCTGCACTGATTAAAACTGAACTACATGTGGCTTAAGGGAAGGTGCATTGTGTCTGCAGCAGATGTGACAGTTGTACAGAAAGTGACTCTGTCCTGGGGAACATTGAAGAATGATACAACACAGAGAACACAGCCTTGTAAGGCTTTCTGATTGGACCGATTGGGCTGAATTTCCTGTTTCTGTGCTTTACATTCCTTGTAGTCTTGTATGTAGTCATGTCCTTTTGCTTTGTGAAGTACTACCTCCTGCAATTCATCAACTAACCCTGATTGAATTTATCTGCATAGGAATGACATTGTGACGTTTTGATTTGAGGATGTTTTATGAGACCAGCCCTCTGCGCCATATGGAATATCTCTAGAGCAGTATATATCAAAAATTACTGTACTAGAATCTATTTTTAGTTAAAGTTTGGGCAAAATTGTAGCATGCAATGGAATTTGTAGATTTACTATCAGAACGAGTTTGGCAGTGGAGCAAAATAAGTCATACTTTTTAACATACTTACTTTATTTTCATAGTCATGTCCAACAAGCTGCATTCCTATTACAGTGAATATATAAATCACAATGATGACGATAAGTGTCAGATTTCCCATCTCTTTTAAAGATTTGAATATGATGTTGATCAATGTGTTCAGTGTTTTCCAGTTTTTTGCTAGTTTGAAGACTCTAAGCTGATAGTAAAAGAAAATAGCAAAATTTAGAACAGTTAGAATTTGGAGAAGCTTCACAATGTATTATGAATCAAACATCTGATAGCAGTATAATTTTGTTTTATTTCGGATTCTGCCAAATAAATACTCTGGGAATTTCATAACTTTCAATGACTAGTAGATGTGTAGAAAACATGTATAGAATATGCCATGCACGTACATTTCGTTATGAAGCTTTCAAAATATAACAGAAATGATAACCCCGTTGATAAATTAATTACCTTGGTATTAGCATAAAGCAGTAAAGAACTGAAAAAGAACATGCATGCCTGCATGTTCAATCCAGATGAGATGATTATTTAAATAGAAACAATGTGAAGTCCAAAGGAAACAAAAGATAGAATTCCAAAACAGATAGGTTACTCACAGTGCTGGATTCTGTCAGCAGCTAATTTTCTATGTGATCCCCTTAGAAACTTAACTACAACTCTCTAAGATCCACAAGTAACAAATGCTTTTGCTATTTTGCACCTTTAGAGAGACCAAGATGAATGCCATCTTCTGTAAAATACAATCCTCGCTCTGCGATTTTTAACATAAAATTTACCATAGAGAAACAGGCCAATCCACCACTGTGGCGTGCCGTTGTTTATTGTTCTTAGCCTGCTCAGAGATGGGGGTGGAGCAGGGCTTTGTAGCCAGAACTATTGAACTATTATATATCATATGGAGAGCAAGGAGTGATTCTTACATGACCATGTTACAGTAAACCTTTCCACTTCAAATATCATATGACCTCACTGCTGGTGATGTCATCAGCTGTCCTATTTACAGCTCCCTACCCTTCAGACCAGCTCTTCATTCTGTCCCTGAAAATATGCATTTTTCCATTATGAATTACCCATTGGACAAATACTGTGTCCCAATTTGTTTACTTTCTATTCATTATATTAAATCTAAATTTGGAGTGATGAAGAATTCCTGGTTTTTCACATGTGAAATCGGTACAACAGAGCTTTGATTTCTTTTGAACAGATGTGTTTTCCCCCAGTTTGATATTTACTTAAGCAAACATTCAAATTCTAAAGGACCAGCCTGACACAAGCCTTTGAGTTAATTAAAATTAAGAAGTCAGTTTATTGTAAACTTACTTGGAGAGTGTATGAATCTTATTAAAAATGTAAAGGACACCCCGAATTCTGTGACCTGAAGCTGCGTCCACACATATACACAAACGAGCATGCAGACAAAAGAACAAGGTACAGGGTGAGTCAAGGTGAAATTGAAAAAAAAGGCACAATCCTTAGGTACAGGTTAAATTATTTGAGGCTAGAGTCCATTCAACAGTCTGATTTCAGACAGAAAGAAGCTGTTCCTGAACCTGCTCATGGTGATTGTGGCTGAGCAGTTGTCGTCCTGAACTCAGACAACAATTATTCCATTTTCCAGAATGGTTGGTGTTGTGGGGCACTAAATTTTTATTTTAAATTCTCTCTCTGTCATGTGTTCCAAATTGCAACAGAGCTAATGTCTTCATTTGAGAAATTCCAGAGTGAGAGAAAGGTGATCTTACATTCTGTGAGGAGCCTTTCTTTCTGGTGTTATGAATGTTACTACTTCCTGTAACAAAATCAGAAGCTTTTTCACAGGAAGGGTTTCTGTGTGCGGATGCTGGCTGTTAGGTCACAATGTGGAGCATCCATTTTTGATAAAGAGTTTTGATGATCTGTTGTCAGAGATTCCCAGTTATCCTTTCATGTAGATAGTGGGTTTTATCTCCTCTGCATGGAACGAGTTTCGCAAGATGTTTCTCGTATCAGCAATATTTGTAGTAGGGAAGTCTCATTACCAGAGACAGTTGAAGATATCATTTTAAACTATGTATTCCAGAGATGAATTTTATTGTCAAGAATATACTTTATAGAGTGTAGTTGACAATTAAAACATTATATTTAGATACTATTTCAGAAATTCTTGTGGCAGTTTGAATCAGTTGCCTTTGGCATCCATTTTCAACATGTCATTTAACTATTGCTCTTGAAACCACAGTCCAGTAATTCTCAGTTAAGTGATGAGATTCAAAGATTAATAGTTCATGCTTTATGTCACAAGGAGAATTAATCTATATTCCTATATTATATCCCAATATTTGATTTGATTTATTATTGTTACTTGTACAGAGATAGAGTGAAAAGTATTGTTTTGCATACAATCCAGGCAAATCATATGTCATTATGTCAGAGTATTAAAACAGAATATAAAAAGTCTGATAACAGCAGGGAAGAAGTTGTTCTTGGGAATGTTGGTAAATGTTTTCAATGTTCTGTATCTTCTGCCAAACAGAAAAGGGTGGAAGAAAGTATGACCGGGGTGGGAGGGGTCTTTGATTATGTTGACTGCTTTCCTGAGGCAGCAGGAAATGTAGACAGAATAAATCGATGGAAGGCTGGTATTCGTGATGGACTGGGCTGCGTTCACAACTCTCTGTAATTTCTTGCAGTCTTAGGCAGAGCAGTTGCCATACCAAGCCGAGATCTTGAGAGGATGCTTTCTATTGTGCATCTATCAAAATTAGTAAGAGTCATTGCGGATATACCGTATTTCCTTAGCCTCCTGAGGAAGTACTGGTGTTGTGTGCTTTCTTGACTGTAACATCGACGTGGATGGACCAGGACATGTGTTTACCATTTCATTCATTAACCTGTACCTAAATCTCCTCCCCATCAAGTCACATGGCGAGGGTTCAATGCTGACCATATTATTGACTCACTTGGAGGTTGGACAGCTTGTGTACTGTGTATATGCTCTTTTCTTGGAACAAAGTTGAACACTGTCCATTTCTTTTTCTTTAGGGAAAAGCCCCATAGTAGAATGCCATGTGTTGCTTGTAGAATGATCTCCTCCATCATGTCTGCTGGTGAACAATTCAATTCTTCTGTTCACTGTGATGAAGCTTGTGCCTCGACCTCCCTAGAGGATATGTAGTCTGCATTTGTTGAAGGCTTGGTCTCCTGGGTATCTCCTTTGTTGTCCTTCCCTGAAGTGGATTGTATGGATCCTCTTCCCTAGCTTTCCTTTGCTTGTTGCAGGGTTCTGCAGAAATTCTTCCATCCCCTTTGTTAGCCTCATCCCTGGGACTTCTGGATCATACTGGAATAGTTTCTATTTGTGTGATGTTTTTCAGGCTCTCTGCTTCAACATGCTACTCTAAACCAGATTTCACGGTTGACTGGTCTTGCAAGAATTCAGTCATATTCATTGTATTGCCTGAAAATGGCTTCTCCTGGGTCTCTGCATTGGGCACAAACACTGCTGTTGTCCCTGTATGTTCCTAGCTTCATGTGGACTCTGGTATTCCTGAGACTTCCGTCCCTGGGTCAATACCTGGAATGGATTTGACACCTGCTCTTGTCGATTCCTCAGAGGTTATGGCCTGGTCTGTTCTTTAGACTGGCTGGTTATGCAAAGGCCTATTCCTGGCCTCTCTGGAAAGCTGTGTTTCTGCTTTGCATTTTATTATTTCTGTGGTGTCTTGGCAGCTCCCCTTGCACTATCTCTTCAAAGACTAATGCAATAACTGGAGTCTCCTGCTGCGGCTCGATGCTATGCTTAGTAGATATGTCCTGGTCTGCGTGTTCATCTACCTGTTTCGTTAAGGGTAGTGTACACTTGGAACATTTCACTGTAGCTGATGGTGTGGATGTTGTCAAAAGGTGCTGTACTCAGTTGGGTTTCCTCTGCTCCAATGAGTGAAGAAGCTGTAATGCCACCCAGGCTTCTCTCCTCATCAAACAGTAACGTTGATTTGGAAGAACATATGGAGGTCCGTGAAATTTCCCATCCCTAGTGCCAGGTTCTCACAGTCAATACAGTCTAAGATCTTCAATGAGATGCCCTTTGAGCAGACATACTCCATTGCTTTTGGGGAGATCTGGTCTCAGATCATACAGTGCATCTGATAGATTCAAGTACACTGCTTCCGTACTGAGTTCCAATTCTGTATTGTGTCCATTGATGAAGAGCTCTGTGTTCTGGAAATCCTCTGTAATCTAAGCTACCTCTCCTAGGAAAGGTTCTTCAGTTAGGTAAGAGTTTTATTTTGTTTTAGCAGATTTATGAGTCCCTGCTGCAGACCAAAGTTTAGAGATGGAAACAAGTCATTGAAGCACATCACACTGAAATAGCGTCTCCACTTGCAAGCATGACAATCCACATTGATGGCAGCTTATACCTTGTACCACTGGGATCTGTTGTCACAAGAACTGAAACACAAGGTATTGTTGTCTGTGGTGCCTTGTCCTGCTGTGCATATGTGGTACTGGGTACCCCAGAAATTGATGAACTGTACAAACTCCATAAACTGGCTAGATGAAGGAGCTTGCCTCCGTCTAATTGAGTGCTGGTTAAGATTTTACAGATTTCACAGCATTGATTTTAACAGGTGAGGTCCAATCTAGACTGCAGGAAGATTGATAGGCAACAGCCACAATGATTTGATCTTAGATGGTCTCTTCTCCCAAGGAGCCACAGTTGTAACTGACTGTGTGTCATTACATGTCTTTCACAAAGAATGCTGACCTGTGTCTGTCTGGTTTGTGTGAAAGACCTGAAGTGTCTCTACAGCATTGGAATCTTTGCCATCGATCGTGCCATTGTCTGGCCTAAACTGGGGCCCTATATGTGGCGGAACACCACAGGTGTTCTTTTCTATCACAAGATTATTTTGCAGCATATTATGCTGAGAATAGGGTTAATACTGCTTTTGTTGGTTTTGCGTACTGTTCAAGGGCATTTGTTGCAATTTCTGACATTTTCATTCACTGCCTCTCTGCTTGTGCTGATGTTTGCCAGTTGACCCCACCCCTGGGTCCATCTGCTTTGAGTTTTTCTGATTTTACTTGATGTTGGAGTCTGCCTGTTCTGACGTTCACTTACTGCTGGTCTCTGTCTTCCTTACATTCTGCCAGTTTGCCTCTTACTAGAGCTTATCTGCTCTGTACTTTTCCAATCTCGCTTACCACAGGAGAGTGGATGTCTCAAAGTTTTGCTTATTGCTGGAGACTGTTTTCTCTATGTTTGCTGGTTTTATTCAATGTTTCATTGGTTTTAACCGGAGTCGGTCTGTTGTAGCCTCTGCCGATTTGTTTTCTTGCTTTTCCTGTGTCTACTGACTTGTTTTCTTGTCCTGTTGTAGTCTAGGAACATAGCTGCCACTGCTGTTTAACTTCGTTTTAAATTTCAGTGGCAATGCTGGGTGTTACTGGCTGCTAATTCTGTTTCTTAAGGAGAAGGTTCATCAGTGTTACTGATATCAGATGATATGTATGTGTACAGTGTACCCCGGGACTCGGTCCATCCTCTTTCCTCAATCCCTATCTGTATCACCTTCCATTTCTTTCTCCCTCCCTTATTTACCTACCTTCCCATTCAAGGCATTTATGCTCATCTTCTCAATTGCTCTATGGGAAAGCACATTCCAAATTCTAACCACTCTATGTACAGATGTTTCTCTTGAAGTATTTAGTGACTATTTTATATTTACTGCCCTTGCTTTGAATTACCCCATAAGACAAAAATATTTTCTGTATGTTCGTCTTTAAAAACTGGAAAGACTATGTTACCTTCTCTTTTAATTTACAGAAAAAAACCCCTCCAGCCATTCCTCCTGGCTGATAAATCATAACTATTCAGTTCTGGTATTATCCTTGTTAATTTTTTTCCTATTTCATGATCTGGCTATCCAGAATGGAATAACATAGTTTGATTATTTTCATCTTCCCAATTAATTTTGTAAATTGGTTGAAAGTTATGACTAAGCTACTTCAGAATTTATTCGCCAAAGTGCAAGAGTCAAAATAAAGGATCAGAAATTATCATAGAAAGGCAAAAATATATTTGTTATGCCCATATTAATATCGTGGTTGTAATTTTACGGGTCAGGCAGTTGCGTAACGGAAATTTGGGAATTGGAGAGGACAAATGTTTGTGGAGATTTTCTACATAGAATTTAAATTTGGCAGGCTTTCCTTCTCTGCCAGTTACTTAGATTTAGATGCCTTTCCCAGGTCATATTTTCTGATTATTTACTGAAAAGCAAAATTACAAAGTTATTGATAGATTCTCCCATAACTTTGATTTGTAAGTGTTCAGCACAAAAATAAGAAGAAGTCTAGTTTAGTGTCTAGTTTGATGTTGTCACATATGTGAATGTAATTCAAGTCTCAATTTGCATAACTCAAAGTAAACACCACATATGAAGCCAGTGTTGGCGGGATGGTTGGGGGCATTGGCTATGTGCCACAATCACTTATCCAAAAGGCATTTGATACTGTTCTCCTCAAATGTTGGAATCACATGATGACAGAGATGTCTCAAATTGGATCAGTCAACATATTCAGATCCAGTTCAAAAGCTCTGAGATTGGCTTTCACATTTCTTTTTGTCTAAGTTGATTGATAGATTGAGTTATTATCATGTACAGATCAAAAAGACTTAGAGGCATACAGGTTACATTGCAGGTTACATTATTTGAGGCTAGAGTCCATTCAACAGTCTGATAATGGCCAGAAAAAAAAAACTGTCCCTGAACCTGCTTGTGCATGTGTTCAGGCTTCTGTTTCTTCTGCCTGATGGAAGAGGTTGTAGGAGGTCATTACCAGGGTACGATGGGTCTTTGATGATTTTGGCTGCCTTTCAATGGCAGCGAGCCATATAAATAGTCCATGGATGGAAGGTTGGCTTCCATGATGGTCTGGGCTGTGCACACCACCTTCTGTTGTTTCTTATGGTCCTAGGCAGAGCGGTGTTGGAGATCCTATGTTTCTGTGCTCAGCTAGATGCAAAGAATTGTCTCTGGGACAGAAATCCTCATGACTGACCCACTAAAACTGACCTCTAATCAATGAACGCTCAAAGCTAGGTTTGTAGCACTTTGATACTGGTATGTTGTTCTACTCTTGCAAACATATAGAAGTAACATGATGTAAGAATGTCTGGTAGACATTGATCTTTATTCTGAGACACACTCCATTCTCATTCCAAAGTCTACGAGTGGTTGATTTCAGCATTGTGTTTTTTTGAGAGGACACTCCCAAGATTTCAAAATCTTTTTACCGAGCAGAGATGCATGTTGTTGATAGCAACTGTGGGTTCTTTGATTATGTCCTCAGGGGAAGATTAAGACAAGATGTCTGCCTTCTTCAGACTTTTATTTTCAAGCCCAGGAGTTATGAGGCTTGGGCAAAATGATCAACAAGCAACTGAATGACAGTGCTGTTATTCATTAACAAGAGTTCACTAAGTAACCTGTCTGCCTTGAGCCTTTACAATTTGAAGAAGTTGCTGACCCTCCTGAAACGAATGTGCACCCCTGTATTAAAATCTTTCTCTGGCTGCTGAAGCATGGCTGTAAGTGTAAGAACTGGAGCCACAGATTTTCCTGGTTACAGGAGAGTTGGTCAGGTCAATGAACCACATATTAAGGACTTTATTCTATTTACATGCTTTTAATGAATTTGATGTGCTGTGGAGAATGCGTCTACTGTTCACTGACCTGCAATGGAGGCCATTTTGTGATTTGGGTACACAGAGTCAAAGAGGCAAGTGACAGCCTGAATAATAATAATTCTTGTAAGAATTCCACAGTGATTGTCATAGAAGGACATGCTCCTTTTCCATATCTAGAGGTGAGTCATAGAGATCTCTGTGTAGTCTTGGGGCACAAATTCGACAAAAGAGGCTGATTTGTTTACTAACGATGTGAGCTGCTCTGTACTTGAATATTGCAGGTGGGATCTTGTCAGCTCCCGAAAATGTTCCCATTGAAAGTTGTTTTGTAGCCTTCATGTGTTCTGTTTAAGAAGGATTGAAAGGAAGCTTTTACAGAGTGTGGTGCTGTAGAAGTGATCCAAAATCTACAAGACACAAGATGGAATACACCCACGTTCCTAATGAAGGCAGCTCCAACAACGTTCAAAAAGCCTGATACCATCCAGGACAAAACAATTTACTTTTTTCCCATCACTTCCACAGGCATCAGACACTCCACCATCAGCAGTGGCAATTGACAACAATTTTAAAATGGCCAAAATAGAAACAACCTAATGACCAGAAAATAGAAATTGGAAGATCTTACTGCCCTCTTTCTTTTTATTCACTCATGAATGTGGCATCACTGGCTAGCCAGTATTTATAGCCTATTGAATCAGAGATAATAGGAACTGCAGATGCTGGTGAATCCGAGACAACAAGGTGCTAGTTGTCCTTGTGAAGTGGTGGTGAGCTGCCTTCTTGGGAGTTTTGCTGTTTACCTGAAATAATAGGCATGTGGGGAACTTTGACGGTTTGGTTGCAACCAACATAGAAGAAAAAGGCTTCAGGAGGTCAGGGAAAAAATTGTTTCCGACATCAAGTTTGTCAACAAGATCTAGGTTGCATGAAGGTGATCAGTACAAATGCCTTTCATGCACACAAATAGATATTTAAACAAAAAAAGTACGTTTTTAAAGAGTACTCACAGGTCAATGTAATAGCATTTCAATACAGTCGTATATGGACTGCAACTATGGAAGAACAAATCTGTGAACTTTTCATTGAGACAGAGGTTTGACTTACCATTCTCAGTGATCGTATCATGGAAAGTTTAAGTGTTGGAATATTTACTGTGGAAAGTATCCATTCTAAGCATGTCAGCAGAACAATGATAAAATCAAATGCATTCCATCCATTTCTCATATAGGGCATAGGATTTAGTGCAGTCACCTTCAGAATAGCTTCTATTATAAAAATAATTGACAAAACCTGTATTAAACAAGAAACAGTTATAGTGAGCCAGTAACAAACATAAAAATAAGAAATGCATTAGAAGTTAAAGTTTTAATCATCATTTAATAAAAAGATAATCATAATGAATGTTATGTGTGATATATGTTCATATTAAATTAATTATTTTGCTATTTTGGTGAAGATTTAGGAAAAGGGTACATTTCACCTAATAGTTTTTGGCAATTCTTTTTGTGCTATTACATCTTCTACCTGCAACAGTTTAACAGTGAAATAAATATGCAATTAAATTATTCGATGATAATATTTTACAATATGGCGCAGAGTATCGATATGTAGCTAAAAATGTAGCATATAAAATGATCCATGCTGTATTTTGGGTCAGGCATTTGCGATTCATGACCTTCCTGCATCAGTTACCTGCTACTTCTACATTTAGAGAATAGTAGTGTTGATCTGAGCAGGGTCCACACTACTGGCTTCCTAAACACACAGCATGTGCTGATAGCTCTGGTGCAGCCATGTACACTGCATGAACTTTCTTTCAATCTTCTGACACCTCTTCTGTGTCTCAAGAGGATTTGAAAATTAATTTCAAGGTCTCTGCAATCTCATCCCTGATCTTCCTCTGATGATACTTCTTGCAGAAATGATTATTCAGGACATGCAAAATGACCTGATGTTCCATATAGCAAAGGACGTGCACTCCCGAGTTGAAACAGTTTTGCCATTTCTTTAGACATTAGTTAACTTTGCTACGGCAGAAAGAGTTCTTACCAATACTAATAAATCTTAGAATTATTAATAAACCTTACTAACACTGATAAATTTGACATGAACTTTCCATATTTTACTTGTGACAATAAACAGTAATTAAAACACTTCTTGTTGCCTGGGCATGGAATTCCCATCTGAAACAAATTGCTGCCACATTAGGTCTATGTCCGACTCAGGTATAGTCTCCTCCACACTAGTCTCACTCAGGCTTATTTTTGTTCAGAGACTGGACCCAAGCACTTTGTAGCAAAACCGTAATGAGTCTAATGACCTCACTAATATGCTCAAGGTCAGTGGATGCACCTTCTCCTGACAGTTACTATTCTGCACACCACCAAACTCACCATTGCTCATCCCTATCCCTCACCCATTAGCAGTTCCTTACACGAAAGACTCACATTTAAAATCCAGATATTTCCCCTTAACCTCATCGTCATTCCATGATAGCAGCCTTAAGTCCAGCACCACTTACATCCAGCTAGTCAGCTGTGAAAGGCACATCACATGAACATAATGTTCTTTCCTCTCTCTTTCAGGACAAATTGGCACATAGTAGAAACCAGCAGAACATAGCAGTGAAGGACGAGCATACCCATATCTTCTGATCCCTGGTATCCACTAGTATTACAGAGAGTATTTTCGGTAACAGGACATCTTCGGCCTAACTTTATTGTTAACTCCCAGCTCACTTCCATCAAGTCTGTCTGGCACGATATGCAAATGATAGATGGTGTGACTATAGACATCTTGCTTTCTACCCCGGACACATTTTCTCACAGTATTCCAGTTGTTGTCTAACTGGTGCCTTGCTTCATGTTTGCAAATAGGCCATCAAAGCAATCAGTGGGATTGATTGATGTCATGACAGCATTAATTCAGAGGCTTCCTTCAATGGCTGAGCACCCTGCTGAGCATGCAGTACAGTAGAGTGTGGACATGCTAGAAGCAAATAGACTCACAACATCCGAATTCTCAGACTTATGTGGCACCATCTGCAGTGGTACTACGCATGTCAGTTTTGAGCTCTGTGCTTTTAAAAGCTTAACTTGAGTAATTCCCACATAATTTCTCTCTGATGAAATACATTTACATGCTGGTACTTGCTTATTTTTTTTTTTCTGTAGTGAACCTCCATCCCAAATTAAATGTCTAAATCTTGCGATAGAAATAACAGTGTGTTAAAAATGTTGTCATCAATGCACAAATCAGCCAGGTAGTTCAGGGGATTAAGAAATATGCTTTGAGATACAACTTGTGGATCAATTACGATGCTTCAGACAAATGGCGTCTCATCCTAAGATTCCTCATTACTTTTAGCAACATGCTAGATTTACCCATTAATGGTTAATGTAAACTTGCTGAAGAATATCAAATCTGGAATTAACAGTGAGTACCTTTTGAATTAGGTAATAGTTAATAATGCAGAGCCAATCAATTTCTGACACAGAAATCAAACATTGTAAACTGTGGATTCTCATTTCATTACATGCTAAATTGTTCTTGAAGGTTTTAATTATACTATTTTTACATTATTTTCCTTACTTTCCCTTTCAGTTTTTACTTTTCTCCATAATCTAATATTTCTGTCTCTCTTTTTGCTTCTTTAATTAACACTGTACATTTTAAAAAAACAACCTTAATTCCTTTTGATAAAGGGCATAAAATATCAGTCCCATTGTTCATTAAGGTCCCAGATGCTCACAGGCTCACCCTCAGAGCACCATTTACATCTTACCCATTCCAGTACATTATGGAAAAAGGATTTTTGAAGCAAAGGATGCAGATAAATGTCTCATGCAACAAGTAGTAAGTAGTCAGGTCTAGGAGATCAGATCCATTAATGAGTTAAGAATTTTACTTTTTTCTCAGTTTATCAGAAGAAATATGACTTCACACCTGCGTTAAAGTTAAAAGCCATCCCTATTTTATCAAGAATTCTGAACTGAAAAAGATTGATGTTTCAAATGTACGATGAAATCCACCTCAGTGCAGGTTCTGCATTTAAAAAAAGAGTTTTTGCCTCTTTTTATTCATTGGGGTTTCAGGTCCTAATCTCAGTCCCGAGCCTGAATTGAGCCCCATTTCAGCTCCTTCAGAACAGGGGTATGATGGGTCTGACCATGTCAATCTCCACTGACCACATGCTGGACCTCACTGAGAGTCCAGTAGTCACCAGGGCCTGAAGGAGGAAGATTCCCTCTCTTTTTGATTGTGACTATTGCTGGGATGGGCAGAGGCTTTACCTCCAATCAGTCATCAGGAATTCTCTGTATCGGGTCCTCACCTAGGTTCTGGCCATTCTGGTAGACTTTGCCAAAGCAGCCACAAAAATCTTCCAGTGTGCTTTATTTCATTGAATATTATGGATAAGTTACATATCTTGTTTTTATTATGCACTTATCAAAGAATACTTACAGTGTTTCCACTTTCTAGGGCATGTGAATAGGGTGCTTGATGGTAGTCTATTGACAGCAAAAGAGTATTTATTAGGATGCAGATAGTAATCACCCCTTCAAAAAGCGGGTGTGAAACAAGGATCACTAAATATTCCTGCAGTCTTAAAAATGATGGGCAACAGGTCCAAGAGCAAAACTTTTGCTTCAGTCTTTTTTTGAAAGAATAACACCTTGAATTCTTTTGTCTATTATTTTCTTCTTCTTCATCTGCAAGAAAAGCATAAAATATTTGAAAAAGAAATAAATAGCCCTGCCCTAGCACTCAGAGTCAATATTATAAAAGAAAAGCACTATGAAATAAAAACAAGAAGTACTGGATGTACTCAATAGGCCTGGCAGCATTTGTAAGGAGAAAAAGACAATATATTTTTCAGGTTAATATTTTCTTGTCAGCAGTTACTCAAGAAACATTCATTTAAACTAAAGCTACAATATACACGACCAACAGTGAGCCATATCAAGGTGCAGGGCTGGATGAACACAGCAGGCCAAGCAGCATCATAGGAGCAGAGAGGCTGACGTTTCGGGCCGAGACCCTTCATCAGAAAAGGGGGAGGGGAAGGGGGTTCCGAAATAAACAGGGAGAGAGTGGGAGGTGGATAGAAGAGGGATAGAGGAGAGGATAGGTGGAGAGGAAACAAACAGGTCGAAGAGGCGGGGATGGAGCCAGTAAAGGTGAGTGTAGGTAGGGAGTTAGGAAGGGGATAGGTCAGTCCAGGGAGGACGGACAGGTCAAAGGGGCGGGATGAGGTTGGTCAGTAGGAGATGGAGGTGCGGCTTGAGGTGGGAGGAGGGGATAGGTGGGAGGAAGAACAGGTTAGGGAGGTAGGGACGAGCTGGACTGGTTTTGGGATGCGGTAGGGGGAGGGGAGATTTTGAAACTTGTGAAATCCACATTGATACCATTGGGCTGCAGGGTTCCCAAGCGGAATATGAGTTGCTGTTCCTGCAACCTTCGGGTGGCATCGTTGTGGCACTGCAGGAGGCCCAGGATGGACATGTCGTCTGAGGAATG